TAAAGAATTCAGTGTCATTGTCTGGTCTTATGACTTTTATAGGAAGATCAAACTGTGTCTTGATCATTGCAAAAAAAAATTAAGTGCTACAATAGTTTCAGACTTTAGCTGTAACAAATGAATCCAAGTATATCTGCTGCAATCATCTACAATTGTAAGAAAATAATGTTCCTTATCAAATGTAGGAATTTTATATGGCCCCCAAAGATCTAAGTGTACAAGATCAAAACACTTGGTTGCTCTAGTTTCACTAACAGGAAAAGATAGTCTAGTTTGTTTGGCTAAAGGACAGACATGACAAGTATTTATTGCATCCATGTCTTTATTGTACTGTAAAAAATCTACTGACTTCAAAGTTTGGATTGAAGGATGTCCAAGCCTTTTGTGCCATAAGTTTGTATCCTGCATAGTTGCTCCTGCAATTATGTTTTGGTGATTCTAAATCTTAGGTACTGTCTTCATTCCAGCTTCATATTTGAAACAGCATAAACCTCCTTTTTCTTTACCAATCCCCTTCACCTTGCCACTGTGAAGGTCCTGAAACACACAAAAATCAGGATAGAAGGAGACAAAACAAGAAAGTTGTTTAGTGATCTTGGATACTAATAACAAATTGCATTTGAAATCAGGCACAAGTAAAACATCCTGCACAACTTCATCTTTAAAAACTATGGCTTCTCCAATGTGTGATACATCAGCCTTTGCACCAGTAGGAAGATTCACCTTATCACTATTTGACTTGACTACATCATGATTTCTTGAAAAAATTTCCTTAGCTGATGTAATATGGTGAGTAGCACCCGAATCTATTATCCATTCTTGTGAAGCAACATGAGATAATAAACAAGTGGTCGTACCTAATAGATTGACATGTTTCATCTCATCTCTGTGTAAAAGTCCATGATTTGTTTGTACTCCCCATCAGTAAAGGTTTGTCCCTTTCCCAACACAACATTGTTGATCTCTTTATTTCCTTCATAACTGGTTGAAGCATTTTGGTCCCCACTAAGATTGCTTCCAATAGAATTGGTGCTCATTTGACCTCCACACTAATATCCAGACCTATAAGACTTTCCATATCCTTGTGTGTTATATCCTGGTTGTTGACAACCTCCTTTTGAGTTTCCATTGTGGTAGTTTTCTTTTTTTCTATGCTTCCAGTCTGTAGGATATCCTATCAACTTATAGCAATTTTCTCTAGTGTGCTCAGTATAATGGCAATAATCACACTTCTTTCCTTTATAGCCTTGATATGATTGTTGTCCAAGGTCCTATTCACCTGCATTGCAATTGGATTAGATTTCTCCTGCGTAACAGCCACACATGTTAAATGTTGAATCTCATCTTCCACTATCATGGCATATGCCTGATTAATAGTAGGTGTAATTCCTTTCAACAATATCTGCCTTCGGTCTGCTCATATGAATCATTAAGACCACTCAAAAATTGGATCAATCTCAGCTGGTATAAATGGTCTGCATAATCTTTCGACTTTGGACATATACAAGTTGGGGCTGGAATAACAGCATAATACTCATTCCACAGATTTTTCAACTTTGTCAAGTTAGCAGACACTGAATTAGTTCCTTGTGTAAGCGTATTGATCTCTCTATGCAGTTGATAGAGTCTCATCCAATTCATTTTGTCAAATCATTCTCTTAGATCTCCCCACACATCAAAAGCACTTATTGCATACACAATCCCGCTTAGAAGTTCTTAATTAACAGAACTCATCAGCCATGACAGTACTATTGTGTTGCACGTCTCCCATTGTTTATGCAGTTCTTCTTTGTACAATGACTTACTACAGGCTCCAGTTACAAACCATACTTCCTTTTCCCTAACAATGCGATTCTCATTGATCGACTCCAAATTCCATAATTTTCAGATCCAATTAGCTTGATAGGAATTAAAGCAGCTCCTGATACATCTGATGGACCTATGTATAATGGATCACTATGATCGATTCTTGTAACTGCCATTTCTGAGGGGAAAAAAACTGCGATCTAATTTAGTAAGTGTAAGAAATTGATACTCTGAACTCAATTCTACAACATCAATATGTACAGGTCATCATGAACCTGCTCTGATACCATTGTTGAGCACAAATGAAGCTTTTATTGAAGAAGAAGAAGCAGAAGAAACATCATGTTTACATCATTCTAGAACCATCTAGGAGATTCTAACAATTCTTAACAAACTCATTCTAATAACTAACTAACAGAATGTTAACTCTATTATTGACAGAAAAATAACAGACTAACGGAACAGTAAAAATGTACAGTAAAAAAACTAAATTGAAACGTCTAGTTATTTCAACAACAAGACGTTTCTAGCTAAATCTAAAGCTAATATATTTCTTAGCTAGGAAAATGATTTATACAAATGAGAGACTGCCAGCAATTTATACAAATTTGATGATCCATAGCTAATATAATGTTTGTTATAGAGAGCAATATACAAACTATAGTTATAACATATAAATATGATTTTTATGTTTGCTAAACTTAAAATTTACTCTATTTTTTAACGATCAAATTTTGTAGTTTTGCAAAATCATATTTTCCACATGACATGTTGGATATAGTGGGGTCAAGGAGAGGCATAGGTAGGCTATGTATTGAAAAGAGGTGATTAGACAGAATATGATTCATTTTCAGGTCATCGAGGACATGAACTTTTATAGGAGGAAATGGAGGTTGCAGATAAAGGTTGTATGTAGTTAATGAGTTGTCTTAGTACTGTCGCGGCAAAATGGATAAACTAATATGGGTATTCATTCATATTACCCATATTAAATGAATTGGGTATTTAACTCATTTAAAAATGGGTAAAAAATCGAGTAATACCCGTATTATTCATTTAAAATGGATAGTTAAATGGGTAAAAGCAAACAAAAAAAGTGATTAAAGGTTTGTTTGTAAGAAAGTTTTTTTTCTTTTTAAATAAAACTATAAAAAAAATGTAACATTTTTTTACATTTAATTTGGGATAGTTTTTAAAAAAATTATAAAAAATATTAATGAAAAATTAAAAAAAATGTTATTATTTTTTTGGGATGGGGTGTTTATTGGGGGGGGGGGAGGATGGTAGGGGTAGGGGTAGGGGTGTGGGGTAATTTTAAAAAACAGTTTAATGAAATTATTTTTAAAAAATTTAATGAATTTTTTTTTGGATGGGTGTGTGCGGGGCTGGTAGGGGGGAAGTGGGGGTGGGTGGGTGGTAGGGGTCAGTGGGGTGGGGTGGTAATTTTTTTTAAAAAAAAA